CTCCACGGCTTCTAAATACTTCATGTGTCTCTTTTCCTGCCTTTATTCACTTCAGAAAAATAGAGGTGGATCTCTGCTCCCCAGCCTGTAATGCTCCTGGGGAAGTCACAGCTGAGGAAGGCACCCAGGAGGTGTTCAGCCTTCCTCTCCTCCCAGAGCAGCAGGTACCACGCTGCTGGGGCTGTGCCAAGGGTACCAGTGACTCCTGAGAGGTGGGCGACAGCTTAGAAGTCATCTTGGGCCACACAACATTGGCTTTGCCTCCTAAAATGGCTGGAAAATGGAAACATCCCTGGTTTACGTGTCTTGAGGGAGGAAAAGGAAGCTAGATTTGTTACCTATAATCACTAATCAATGACCTAAGTACAACTGATTTTCATCCAGTGAAGCCATCAGAAGATGAAAGTCAATACTGATGGATTCATTTTCAAACCACTTCGTAGAAGGGAAGGTGTTTGTGGGGACTGTGGCTATTGGAAGATTCCTGCAATACCCCAAAAGCCTCTGACAGTTTGTTTGTAACCAAAAAAAAAGTAATTTTCCTGTTTGTTCCAATTTAAAACCCTTCCTGTCAAAAGCATTTCACTGGAACCAGAAGCTGGACCACTGAATGTTTTTCATGCCCAAAATATTCTTCTTCATTTCATGCTTTGATGACAGGCCTGAAGTTTGCTGGTACATTTTTTAGGGGAGAGCTGGTTGGTATTTCTCCACTGATATTTATTCTTCAGCTGCAATGTTTGCTACATGATTTTTCCACTATAGTTTTTTGAGGGAAATTTTTCTTTTGTCCTTTTTTTAACTGAAACAAGCACATTTTTAGGTTGGTCTTTTGGCAAAGGACACACAAGGGGTTGGAATTGAGCTGTCACAGCATGGGTCATCCTGGACTGAGAAGAGGGTGCCTGAAATCCAAGCAAATCACTCGGCCCACTTGCAGCCAAACTCCTGCAATCCCTCCAGCTTCTCATTTGCCTGAAAACTTTCTGCATCTTGCCCTGACTTGCAAAAGGGAAAGTCCTCTGGGTCACTTTTGATGTATAAACCCAATCACTTCTGCAGGATTAACTCATCTGCTCTGCCCTGCCTGCCCAGCTCTTTGTCAGACTGAAGTTATGTTGAGGGTGAGGGGAGAGCAATAGCTGAGCAGCAGTGGGGGTCTGGCAAGGGGCTGGCTGGGAATCCTGTGCTGGGATTTGGCTGGAGCATCAGCTGAGCTGGATTTGGGGGGATGGAGGCCCAGGAGCTGGCAGAGTTCACCTCTGGCTTGTAAATGTGGTGGGAAAGGTGAGGGGCTGGTGCTGGGATCAGCACAGGGAGGTCCCCAAGCTAAAATCCCACCTCTTCTAATGGGCATCCAATAAAAATTGCAATGGTGATGTGGTTTCTGCTGATGTAGGAGGATCAGCATGAAAGATTAAAGCAGCTTTTTACAACCACAACCCAAGTCCCCAGCTATTCTCTGTGTAAAATGTTGCCTCTAGTGCCATTATCCAGCTGGGAAGACAGTTCAGAACTGTGCTGGAGGGCTTGGGTGGAAGGAGCAGGAGCAGAATCAAACCCAGGAGACTGCTCCATATTTAGGATGGCACCAATCTGTGTGTGGGAGTCAGTGCATCGATGCCCAGATGTCTCCACCTTGTTCCCATGGGATCTTCTCTCCTGCTCCACCAGAGCCAGAGCTGCAGAGCCCTTCACACGTGACATGGGCTGTGCCTCAGGTCAGCAGATGCTCCAGGGCTTCACTGAATGGGCACCTCTGTCCTTCCCAAGGAGCTGCTGCTCATGGCATTACAGTGAGGCAAAAAGCATCTTATGCAGCTGCTGGCAGGTGGAAAGGGAAAGCCATAAAGTGATGGGAAACATCCCCTGGGCTACACATGTTGCCTCTCCCTGACCCCCCCCCAATTTCACAGCTTCCTATGAGGAAGCAGAAGTGCTAAAAGCATTTCTCTGTGTCCTGGTGGGGTGATAAACTCTTCAGGGCCACTTTGCTTTCGTGAGAAACGGTCAGTTTATGAAGAAGGGTCCCTTGGCACAGTGATTCCTGGTGGAAATTTGGGGGTAGCTGTGCTCTCTCCCCCTCCTGCTGCAGGAGGAGGACAAATGGGCTTCTATTCTAGGAGACAAAGGCCAATTTCTTTGATTATTAATAATAAGAATATCATTTTCTTCCTCCCCCACCCTGTGCTTCCCTTTTAATGACCCCTCTCCTCTTGCTGGGCCACCAGCCTGATTTGGAATGGAAATGGGCAGCCCAGAGTCAAGGCGACCGGCGAGAGCACCGCGGGGCTCTAATTAGAATTTTCATTAAACTCCTTCTGTTTAACGACTATCCGAGCAATCTGGCACGGAGGCAGGAGCAAGAGGAAATTAAAGCAACACGACCACTCGGTGGCAGGGAGCAGGGACCCAGCTGTCGAGCAGAAACTGAAGCAGGGTTCCTCCAGACAAAGTTTCCAAGGGTTATTTCAGCTTTGGCATCCTCCCTCCCTCGGGCTTTGGCCCCTGCTTGCAGAGCTGGAGTGTTTTTCCCTTCTGAGGATCTGGCTGGTGCAATCAACGCGTGATCTGTTGGTGACCTAATTAAGGGGATCAGCTGCCAGAGCTCCCAGTGCAATGGGCTGGAAGGAGCTGGGGAGAGCAGCCCCTGAGACCGAGCAGGACAGGGTGGGTGGAAGGTGTGGAGCAGAAGGAAAGGCACCGTGAAGCCACGGGGAGAGCAGGAGCTTTAGCGAGGCTCAGACCAGCAACACAGAGACCATTTGTCCACACGTGCTGGGGAGCATCCTGCTGAGCTGAGTGCTGCTCTGCTCAGAGCTGTGCAGAAAGTGGGGCTTTGTTGGCGATGCTACGTGGACACCCAAGGAACTCTCATCCTGGTCAAGAAAAACAGCTCCAGGTGGCTTTCTAGAGGTGTTTCCCCTTCAAGGAGGCAGTTTTGTAGCTCAGGCCACAGCTGACCCTTCATGAGGGGAAAGTGCTGCTGGTGCCAGCCAGGAATTAGACCTGCAGAGGACAATTTTGTCCCTGAAGCTAAAGGCAGGGGATGTTCTGTGTCCCTTGCACACAGCAAGTCGTTCCCAGGCCGTGTGTGGACACAAAACTGAGCTTGGCTTTTTGAAGCCTGAAGCAAGAGTTTCTTCCTCCTTTGGGAAACTGCCAGCAGTATATTTAAGGTCATAATTCAACTTTGGGGCAACCAGAGGCAAAATAAGATTGCAGTTTGCAATAAAAGCCTATAAAATAGCAAAGAAAACCATAATTTTGTCTAAACTGGATGAGTCCAGCTGGTGTCTCATGGACTTTATACATCCTGTGAGTTTGGGTCCAAGTCCTGGATGATTTTAAGTCTTTCTAGAGAGGCCATGGGGCCTCCCCCATTCACAAGAGTCCAGAGAGCTGCATCTTTAGAAGACAGGCTGGGTAGTCCTGGCCCAAATAGTGCTTGTACCCTCTACATAAGTCTTACTGATGTGTTTGCTCCCCTCCTCCAGCAGCAGAGGTGCTTATTTTAGTTAAGCAGACACTAATTAAGTCACCAGGTCCAGGGAGTGTAGGGGATATTCTCTACACCAAAAAACCTTTAGCCAGTTTTAAAGTATTTTCACTTTTCTTCCTGCATCCCTTGTCATGTGGTTGAGCCCAAACTTTGGATGGCCTTGCTGGCTGAGCAGAGGCAGGGATCACACTATCTAGTGCCCTGTTTATACAAAATAAGTCTAGGAAATTAAATTCCTGCTCATCTCCAGCACTGCTCTGCCTCAGGGAACATCTGGCCAGCAAAACCACCAGGCACTGGGTGAAGAAAGGAATTTTTTTCTGTCTGTTGCACAGTCACATCCACTTTGTTCCAGTGCCCCCCTCCTTTGCTGGCTGTGTGCCCCAGTAGGAAGGATATTGCCACTAGCAATAAACATAAATAAATACATCAATAAAGAAGAAGAAGAAATACATCAATGCATTCACTCACAGACTATGACAAAGCAGAGAAAGGAGCAAACCGAGCCAGAGAGCAGGTCGTGGGGGAAGGAACAAGCCAGGTCATTAGCCCAATCATGTAGTCATTGCCAAGAAACAGCATCATTACATTCAGAATCCTCCTTCTGTCCTGGTTCTGCTGTTGTCCCACATCTGCTGAGAAGTCCACTTGTAATGGACAGTCAGGGAACCCTTCTAAAAACTGTTCACAGTGCATCCACTACACAGGTCAGCCCTTCCCTGCAAGCAGAGCCAGCCTTTATACTGCTGACTATAGAGGCAGGACACCTGATGTTAATGCTAAAGGCAGGGCACCTGGTGGGCATCTCCTAGTGGCCTTTCACCCAAGGTTGGCCAGGCCTTGAGAGAAAACCAAGAGGAAGATCTCTCTTGCCTAGTTGTGAGCATCATCCATATGTCAGCCCCGATTCAGGGCTGGGGGATTAGACCCCAGCACTTCACCCCCTCTTTGTTATGAAGCTGGAGAGCCAAAGCTGAGCTGTGAGACTGAGGGAGGAGGAAAAAGCTGGGGAGGAACGTTGTGGGCACAACAGATTAATTTAATTATCTTTGGGAAGCTTAGGTTTGTGTGTTGACGTAGGTTACAAATAAACCAAGATGCCACTCTTGTCAGAGGGCTTTTTATTTGCCTGGATCACAAAGGCACCTGCTTATTAATTTATCCTGATTGCTAATCTGGGCAATCAGCAATCACAGCAGCGTGTGGTACCTGGATGCTGCCAAGTGGAGCTGAGCACCCTGCTCAGGGGGCTGTGGAGCAGGAGAGGAGCTGCCACCCTGGGGGATGTGCTGTTTGGAAGGGATCATGGACTAGGGAGTCTGTGCCCAATCCAGCACTCAGAGTAAAAATCTTGAAGAGTTTTGTGTTGATGGATGCTAGTCCAGAGCTGGTGTCTTCAGCTGAGCAAGGCTGGTGGCTCCACGTGGTGCCTCAGTCCTTCTGAAGCTGGAGCTTCAACCCCAGACACAAACAGGCTCCTGCAGCATGTCGTTGCCAGTCTCACCCCTTCTGTTCAGTGAAGATTGTGCCTTTCCTGGAAAGCTAAGCAGCATTCCAGAGTGTGGGACTGAGTCATGACGTGGCTTTGCAGACAGGATGTTTCTGAAAGCCCAGGGACCAAGGTCAGCATCCTTGGATGGTGACAGCACTCCTGAGATCATCACCACAACACACAAAATGATGCTGGGAGGGGAGAATCCAGAGCACAGAGGTGCCAGGCCAGGGGGAGGGGGAGGTGTGGGGCTCACCCCAGCGATGGGACCTTCTCCAGCTGCCCTGGGGGCCTTTGGCAAGCCTTGGTCCTGAAGGCCACTGACCAGAGTTTGCTTCTGAAACGTAAATGATTCAAAGATTTAAAGTTCTGCTGTTGGAGGCCTCTCTGATGTCTGTGTGAATAGGGGTTTCAGCAGCTTCTGGGGGAAAAAACCAGACCAAAGTGAGCAGAGAATGGGACTTATTGTATCCAGTGGCCAGAGAGAGCAAAGATGTCTGAGGGACAAAGTGACCAACAGAGACCTCCTGGACAATTAGACTCTTGACCTCTCTGGTTCCTTGAGGGATGCTGGGAAGGGAGCTGTGGACCAGAAGACCCCAAGGAAGGTTTCCTTGACAACACTTGCTGAAGAAAAATGAGATTTCCTGAATGCAGTGGGCATTGGCACGTGAGAGGCTGACTTTAGAAGAGACAAGGACTCAGCACCCAACAGAACCAGCCCCTCGGTTAGTGGGGTGTGAAGTAGTGCCTCAGTGAACTGCTTTTGCAGAGAAACTTAATTAAACAGCTATTACAACCATTAATATTTATTTAGAGATGCAGTCACTGTGGTAAAAGCAGACGTACTGTTTCATCTTTTTTTTTCTAGCCAGAAGATCTTCTCCCCCTTGACTAAGCACTGGCACACCAGGGGATTTTCTGCTCACTGCTGATAGTTTCACCACCCTGCAGCCTGGGTTTAGGATTCTTTAGATCTAGAATTGCCCCACCATTTACAAACACAAAGCAATTGCTTCTGAAGACTATGTATAATAATGTAATATATCATAATAATGCCAATACAATTATAATAAACAGAGCAAACTGGTTTTAATTATTGTCCAGCTTAAACTGCATGGACGAACCAAAACTAAAGGTATTTGTGTTCCAAACCTAAATGGCTATTTTTGTTTTAAATGATACATTTGAGACTTTTTCATGTTTTCCTGCTCGTTCAGGGAGCTGGGCTTAAATTTGCATCCTCATATGCTGTCTCCTAGGGACAGCAGCCCTGTGACTTTGTCCTGAACTCAAGCCACCAACGGTTGCGTGGCTGAAATACCTCAGGAAATCAATGCAAGTTTTGCCTGAAGAAAAGACCCGTGACCTTTCACAGTGGAAGCCTTGGCTGCTCTGGTGGTGTTTGCACAGTAGAGGAACAAAGAGCATCTTCTTCAAAAGCAAAGCCAGTTGGCAGGGAACCAAACGCTGAATGGACGTGTCAGGAATCGGCCAGGCAGGAGCCTGCTGGTGACCAAGAGCTTCAGCTCAGGCTGGAAAGTAAATACAGGGCTTTAACTTGCAAGTGTTGAAGCTGTAGATACACCCTCAGAGGTCCACGGTGGCTTGTCCACCACTGAACAAGGCCAGTGCAGGAGGTGGAGCTGTCTGTGAGGCTCCAAGTCTTTATAGTGGTGAAAGATGAGGAGCAAAAGAGTTTTTCAAGTTGCTTTTTCATAGGCCAAGTGGAAAATGGTCCAGGTTTCTGGGTAAAACATTTTTTCCTCCTCATTTTGCAAGAGTATTTCCCCAAAGTCCTGGCTGGCTCACAGCAGAGGGTCAGCCTTTCCCATCTCCTCCATTTATTGCATGCTTGGGTATTTATTTCTACCATTTAATTTTAAATAGAGATCTCTGACTAGAGCTGAAGTTGGGAAGTGTAAAAACAGGTTTCCTGGCAGGAGCAGCTTCATGTGGACGTGTGTATGTAGGGAGGACATCCTCTTTGTGCATCTCTACCTCTCCTTGGGCTTTCTGAGCATCTTTCCTGCAACTGGATGAGTCCTGTCAACACCTTGAAAGTGATATTTGTTGGGTGGTGTCCTAACTGATTTCAGAACTGCAGTGACAGACACAGGTCCACACAAAATAAGATTAAAGGCTTTAAAAGCTTGATAAGCCAAGAGCAAATCTAGCTGATAACATGGACTGGATAGCGGGCTAGGAAGGCAGTAAAGAATTAGAGGTGACTGACTTGTTCATCAGCATCCCTTCTTCCTTATGTATGGAGGCACAAGGTTGAATTCTCCAGCTTATCATCATGACAGGAGCAACAGCAGACAAAGATGAGGGGCTAGGAAAGATTTGAGGAACCAGAACTTAAACAGACACCCCACAACCCCTGTTGAATCAGCTCAGTGTGTCCTGCTGGCATTGACATCTGCCAGTGCAACTGTCCTGCCAGAGCCAGCAGAAACTCAGCTGGAATGGTTTGAACCCCCTGATAAGACACTGTTCCACATTTTGAGGTGTTTTCTAAGACCATTTTCCTAGTCTTCAATAGACTCTGGAAGGCAAGGCTCCCCTCCAGCTCAGATCCAACTCTCTGGTACCCCCTGATAAGACACTGTTCCACATTTTGAGGTGTTTTCTAAGACCATTTTCCTAGTCTTCAATGGGCTCAGATTGCCCAGTCCCCTCCAGCTCAGATCCAGCTCTCTGGTGAAGTTTTAATGGTGTAAAGACCTTGAGGATGTCCATTGTGCTGGTTACAGAGCCTTTCTCTGCTCACTGTGAGCTATGGGATAGGACTCCCAAAGCTGCAGAACATCTCCTCTACCTTTCTTACCTTCCCCAGCCATCCAGATGAAGGATGATCCAACAGGGATCTTTGGCTTGTTTTGTTTGCCTGCCTAACGACTGCTCCACATGGTTCTTTGCTGTTCCAGTTTCACCCAGATCAGCAGAAATGTGGTTTAGTTAAAGTCTGCCACAACTATCCTGATTTTAGTACTGCAACAAATCATTTCATTTAAAGAATGAAAGGTAAAAATGTTCTATGGGATGGAGAAGCCAAAGGAGCAGGAGGAACCCTGGTTTTAATAAGAATAGTCATAAAGAAGAAGAATGTATCCTCCCTGATGGAAAGGTCCTGTCAGCTTTGAATGGTTTGAAACCAGAGCCACAATCTGTGAAATTTCTCTTTACAACCAATATCTCTAGAATATAATAGTCTTTCTCAATAGAAGAGTGTGAATCATCATAAAGAACATCACAGGAGGGATATTACTCTGCAGAAACTTGGCAGCAGCAGAGAAAATGCCCCAGCTCAACACGAGGGATCTGAGGGAGGTTCAGGACAGGGGTGCAGATAGGTCAGTGCTCGTGGGCAGGGGCAAACCTTGACCAGGATTGAAGGGTACCACGAGGTTCTTCACATCCCAACCCCAAATCAAGGCCAGCTTAGCACAACCCTCAGCCCTGTTTCCCTGCACATCTCAGCAGCATTTAAGGGGTCAGCTTTGCCTTCAGACCCATCATGGGATAGCTGTTTATCAGGTTGCTTTTGGGAAATGTTTCCTTAATTATGCTAGTTTTCTTTGGCAACAGGGACAAGCCCAAGGTAACTTGAGGCTGCATTTCTGATTGCTTTTATTTTACTAAATGAGGAAGCAGCTTGCCTGAGCTACACATCACACCAAGGCACACTGAGCCAGCTCCTGCTGAACCAGCTGATCTCTGCACCAGCTGAGTCACCCCTGCAGCTCCCAGGGACACAAAACCATGACAAAAATGCAGAGAAAGTAGCAAAGGAGCATAAATCAGGACAGAAAGAACCTGCAGATAAGGGCAGTCGCAGTAAGGAAGAGGGAAATATGACCTGAATGGGATCATGGGGGAAAATCCACTTGGCCAGGGACTGGAGACCTCTCTAGGAGTGTTCCTCAGTCTGAAGTCAGTGTGGGTTGGCAGGTCCATCTCCAGGATGGTTGGTAGCTCTCACTTCACAGACCAATGTCTTCCCTGGTCCAAACAAGCCAGGAAACATCATGAAGCTGTAGCAGGACAAGCTTTCCCCTCTCTGTGCAGCCCTAATGGCAAATGTTCATCTGAGAGGCAAAAACACTCTTCCGGGCATGGATGCCCTGACTCTAGAGTGGGAAAACTCATGGCAGAAGACACGGGTGGGAAGGATCTGTCTTCACCCCCCTTTTCAGGGCCTGGAGGCAAGAGGGGAGGCTGAGCAGGGCGTTATCTCTGCAGAGCACACACCCGTGCTGTCCCCTTGGCTCAGGGATGCATCTCAGCACTGGCTCTTGGGGCCAGTGCTCCCCCATTCATGTAAAGCACAAAGCCAATTAAATCCCTGATTGGATGAAGTGCTCACAGTCAAGTGACCCATCGCCAGCCAGTCAGGATTCAAAATTTCCCATTATCGTTAAGGTCTGTGCGTTAATCCCCTCCTAAAAGATTAAGCTTTTAACCTATTACTGCTGTTTCTGCTGAGATACAGAAAATCTCCGTGCTGGGGGGGGAGCAGGGGGTGTGTGGAAGGAGCAGAGCTTCCCCTGGTCCAGCCCCAGAGCCCCGTGTGCTGCAGATCTCACAGCATCTGCCAGGAGGTTCAGGGGATCACAACAGGGCAGTGTGTGTTGCTTCAAAGGGAAGACAGATTATTTTGCAGAAGAGACAGATTTGGAGGCTGCCCCCATGGTCCCCCCACGCTCTCTGCTCCCCTTGGCCAGCAAAGCCACTTAGCACCACCCCAGCTGATCCCCTTCAACCAGGGCTGCTAGAGATTTCCTTGGAACACAGATTTGGGTTGAACTTCCAAGGTGGTGTTGGGAATGGCAATACCTTCCTAGCCCAAGAGACGTGTGATTTCCCCACTGACCTGGGAAGAAGGAGGAATCATGGGCATTTAATGCACATGGCTTGAACCTGCAGCCACTCACACCCTAAAATGCTTTAAGCCACTCCAGAAGCTTGATCCCCAGCTGCTATTTAAAAGCCAAGCCAGGAGAAGACATCACGTAGCTGATCACACACAGTGGATGAGGCCCACCCATGGTTAATATCTAATTAGTAGTTAAATTACTCTTGACTATCGATGGTAAATGGTGATGGTGTATTTGGGTGACAATAAATGTGAGGTGCAACATGCACAGGACAGAGAACGTGCTCCCACTGGGGCACTGGAGCTCCCTGGTCTGCACTGACTTGGCCATCGGAGGAGATGGGAGGAGTGTAGAGTGGAGGTGGGCAGGTTGTGGTGTGCAGACTCATCTTCTGTCCTCCTGACCTGCCTCTCAGGCAGTAAATGGCTTGGGGAGTGGAGCAGCACCTTCAGCTGCTGCAGTGACCTGCTCAGGGAGCCTGTCACAGCCTCCAGAGCAGAAGCCAGGAGCCCAGAAGCTGTAACTCTCCTTCTTCTCCCTTCCAGCTTGCTGCCTTAGAGAGGCAAGTGTTTGATTTCCTGGGCTACCAGTGGGCCCCTATCCTAGCCAACTTCCTCCACATCATCATCGTCATCCTGGGCCTGTTTGGCACCATCCAGTACAGACCCCGCTACATCGTGGTGGTAAGTCACACCCCTCCTGTCCAGAGCCTCCCAGAGACCCTCACCCTCCTTGCTCTGGTGGGATAGGGCCATTTTACCCTAATTTCCCTGCCCTCATCTTCACCACAGAGATAGAAACTGGTTCTAGTGACTTCCCAATGTGCATGACTCCTCTCTCTCCTCCCCTTCCCTTCCAGTATGCCATCTGGACTGCAGTGTGGGTCACCTGGAACATCTTCATCATCTGCTTTTACTTAGAAGTAGGAGGGCTCTCCAAGGTGAGTAGGAGCTTTGTGGGTGAGTGCCCAGGGCCTGAAGGGGATGGAGCTCAGCTGGGGGATAAGGGAGGGGGTGGGGAAGGTGGGGAGCAGCTCCTGCCCTCTTGCCTAAGGAGGGGGCTGCCTTGGAAGGGGGTGAGGAGCACAGCTTGGTTGTGTGGTACAATGAGGAGCTGATGGTGATTTCTGGAGCTCTTGGCTGGTCAGTGCAGGCAGTGGGTGAACAAGCCCTACCCCTGTAGAGTGTGTTTGGTTTGAAAGGTGGGAGCAGCCTGGCAGCAGAGCCAGCCCCAGGGGAGATGGGGCTGGAGGGCTGATGCCCAGCCACGATGCAGAGGAGGCTGAGGAAGGCTGTGAGATGGGAAGAACTCCATCCCTGACCAGCTCCTGGTATATTTTTTTTGCCTCTCAGTCCTGTTGAAGACCTAGTGCACTTCAGCAGCAGGGATCTTTACCTGGTTATCACTACAGCAGGTGAAATATTTCCTGTTGCACCTTTTGGGAGAGGCTCCTCTCTCTCTGCTGAACAGAGGACAAACCAGAGGGGTGCTGGGGAGGCTGGGGCATCTCCTCTGGGTGCAGGCTCAGAGGTGATGTGGCTTCCTTCTCTTAATTCTTCCTTCTTAAACACAGTGGTAGTTACTCATGGCTGTTGGCCAGGGGTGTTGTGAGTTAATATGTGAAGCTCCCCGAGGACTAGATAAGCAAAATATTGCTCCTTGCTTAATGAGGGATGAGTCAGGAATAATAAAAATGGGAGACAGGTCCTAAATTAAGCCTTGGCTGTAAGCAATGAATTACTAAGTGTTGCTGTAGCTCAGCAGCCTCAGAGTGATTATAGGATATGGGTTCATTCTGGAGCACTCTACATCTGGCCTAAATTCCCAGGTCATACATCTAAGTTGGAGTCATAATTGGAACTGCATTAGGGTTTTTTTTTATCAGCCCTACAGCAAGTCATGAGTGACAGCATAAATCCTTTGCAGATAAGAAAAAGTCGCTTCCTAATTCTTCAATTAATCTCCATTTCCCTTCTCAATTATTCCCAGAAAATTTGAAAGAATTCTTCCCCAAAACTGAATACTCATGGGCTGAAGGCTCAGCCTGAGATGATCTTGGTGTTGGCTGTGACCAAGTGAAAAAAATAAGAATCATGTAATTAGTTAAACACTCCCTTCTGCAGAGGAAATATTGGCTTGATAGACTGCTCTGAGAGCTTCTCTGGCAGCCAAGGTTTGCTTCCAGCAGCTGATGATTTGTGTTTACTGAGCCCAGCCTGCCCTGCAACACGCTGGGTTGCTCTCCTGCAATTCAAACAGCACAGCAAACTTTCTCCACTCCACAGGAGCTTCAGCCCATAACCTTGCTCTGTGCTGTCCCTCCTCTTAGCAAAGCCAGCACACAGAGAACCTTCCTTTAACCTCCAGGGTGACATTTGTGATGGGGGGCTTATTTTTTATGGAATTGAGCTGCAGTAGAAGTTATTGACAACTGTAGAGCTGCCCTGAGAGATTTGTGCTGTTAGTTCAGGGGCAACTGGCAAAACCAAAAGTATTTGTGCTTGTTTTGGTGGTAAAATGCTTCACAGCTTTGCTGTTCTTAATGAGTTCCTTTCATTTGAAAAGGCTGTCTTGTAAGAAGAGCTCTTGATGCTGCTTCCTTTCCTCCTCCCCTTTAAATGAAGTTATTTTGGTCTTTGTAATGGCAAAATAAAACCTTGCTTGTAGATGAGGGCCAAAGAGGCACGTGGAACAGGAGTGAAGGTTTCTGTAGGGCAGTGTGGTGCTCTGCAGCCTGGACTCAAGAACAGTGTTGCTTTCCTCCTGCATCTCCAGAGACCTGATCCAAAGCCACCAAGTCTTATTGATCTTGGTTTTGGAATGAGACCTCAGAAGGACACCTGGGCTTGGGTGAGCAAGTGTTGGCCAGGCTTTTGGAGAGGGCAGAGGAGCAGGGACCTCTGTGTGCCCTCAGGAGCCTTGGGGGGAAGCTGTCCTTTAGTTCCCAATAAAAAAAATCAAAGTCTAATTAGCCTGGCAGTAGGCAGATAGGTTGCAAATAGAAGAAGAAGAGCTTTGGTGGAGCAAAACTGATGGAGCTGCTCAGGTAACCACTAACTCATTAACTGCTGGGCTAAGCATGATGATGCTGGGCAGTGCTTTGGACAGGGCTGTGCTCCCGTGCAAGTCTCTGAAGGGGCTGATAGCCCTGAGGAAAGTCTTTGGGTGCTGTTTTGCTCTGTGATTCCTGGAGAGCCTGTGGGAGAGCAGGAGGGAATTGGGAGAGTCGTGTTCCTGCTGGTGCTGTGCTTATCCCTCTGTATGCCTGACAAGGGCAGCCTGCCAGGGACATCTCTGTCAGCAGCTTCCTAATTTACAATGACAAAATGCAGGCAGGGCAGCGAGCTAGAAAGAACAGAGTTTGTGAACTTGGCTGCTGGTAAGGACAGCCCCGTGCAGCTGAGCCAGGGGATAGCTCAGGTGGGGTGAGAAAGGGGTAAAGGATCCAAGTGTTTCTGCTGTAACAAGTTCAGGAAAAACCTGAAGAATTGCAAAAATGAGGAACTGGTTATGTGCACATAGTGCAAGTAATTCTTTGTGCTCTGGTGCCCAGATGTGATTTCCTGGGCTGCGAGCAGGGGGGTGCAGCCCAGGGCTGAGGTGAGCATGGACACTTGTCCTTGTGCCCCCCTTGAGCTGGGGGCCTGGCTGATCCAAAGAGCAGAAACCAAGGGCACCAAGGGGTCTGTGGGCTACGGTCCCATGTCAGCCCACGAGCAATTTGGCAAAGGGGTGAAGAGAATACTTCTTTGTTGTAAACTCTGGCATCAGTAGACTTTGGGCTGGTAGGTGCCTGGTGGTGGAACTGTGCTGAGGGGGCTGGCTGCTCACTTTGCTCTGCCAAGTAAATGCTTCTCCACTGACTCTTTTCCTCTGCTGGGTTCCCTGCCCACCACTTCTCACCCTCTATTTCTTCCTGTCTTTTCTTTCACACCATGTCCTGAACTGCTCCTTTATCCTCCAGGTTCCTCCAGCAGTACTGGCTCTCTGCTGGCCATGGAAACCCTGAGAATGGCTGTTCTGGTCAGCTCTGCTCAAAGCAGTTACAACTCCTTGCTAACCATCTGCTGGGTATAACTACCCCAAATTATTTTATTCTAAAGGAAAATGCTCTTTTCTTGCTCTGTGAATCTACTCTCTACTTGGAAGAGCTCAATTTGCCTGATTTCTCTCTTTCTATTCTGTCTCTTTTTTATCTTGCAATCTTTTAACACCCTGATTCCTACTAAGAAATATATGGCACAGTAGAACCTCATGAGGTGGCCAGGGACAAATGGATCAGCACAGGTGTCTAAGCAAGCACCTCCCTTGTTGCTGCAAGGGCTTCCCTAAGCACGTAGCCCTTGCCAGCTTTCCTGCCAGTGCTTTGCCAATGAGCAGGGCAGCGACAGAGCAATCTGGATTTGAGGGGCTGCTTCTCAGCTCTGGCAGTGAGATGATGGTGTATCTCTCATTTTGGCAGCATTGCTGACTTGTTCTGCTCCTACTTGTGAGCACACTTGCAGCATCTGGGGGAAATGGGGCCTCTCCAAAAGTGCTGTGCCACTGCTGCATGGTGGGGCTCACCAATGGATTTCCAGATTGCTGCTGTTCCATCTCTTTCCTCTTGGTCCATTTGGTTTGGTGAATCGTTGGGAGCTACCTCTGAAGTTTCTAAGCTGTGCTTGAAAAAACATGTTAAGCTTCTCCCTGTCTACTCAAGTGTGAAACACAGCCCCTCTTGCAACCCCCTAGTCTGAGTTAATAATTAAAATCCTGCTAGTAAGATATCTGAGCATCTGTCTGTCCAGCTGCCATGCTGCTGGACTCTTCATCACGTGCTTGAGAAATGCTCAGGGAGGTTTGAAGAAATGTTTTTTTGTATTTCAAAGTATTCCTTTGTCTTTTCCCTCTGGAATTATTCATCTTGGAATGGTGATTTTTTTTTTTTTTATTACCCTTCCTTTGTATTCTCTCTTGTCTACCCAGTGCTTTGATCTGAATCCAGAGCTGTGCTGGTGGTCTGAGTCTCCTCTTGAAATGGAAGCAGCTCTTATCAGTCCAATGGGGGGTTATTGGTATTCCAGAGAATCTGGACAGCATCTTGGGATACTTTGTACCTGGAGAAGATGCTGTCAGGAGGATGGATAAATGCATGTCTAATTACAACTCTCTCAGCTCCACCTAAATTTAGAAACTGGAAGCCTGGGATTTGGCCTTTAAATGCTGTGGCATTGTCAAGAAACCTGCCAAGGGACAATGAAAGTGCTTCTCTGCTGTGGCAGGGTGATGCAGCAACTCAGCACTCAGGTCTAAAAGATAAACATTGTATTTCCTATTTTGATAAGAGATGTTTCCAACTGAAAAGATTTTCAAATGATTCTGCTGTCAGGCTCTGGGGGCTCCTATACAGGGTTCAGTTTGTTTCTAGAGCTGTTATAGTGCTGGCTTGCCTGCTAATGAAGAAAATTTGGGGGGAGGCAGTTCAGAAGGCTGTTGACAAGAGGAAATAAAACCATCTCTTATAGTCCCCCTTGGAAAATAATTTGAGGCCAGCTTTCAGGAAAGGATTTTGGAACAGGAGCACAGCTGGCACTGTGGGTGGCAGAGGGAGGTGAGAGTTTCCCCGTGGGACACAGCGGGATGAGGATGAGAGTGGAAAATAGACTCAGTAAAATGTGGGTGCTGCAGTTTTAGGGCTGTCACCAACTGTCTCACACAGAGGGCAAACAGGGAGCAGCCAGGTGCTGCCACAGCTCACAGTGAGCTGTGACTTCTTGGCTCACCTTCAACGTGCTCCCGAGAAGGAGCTCCTCTCACTCGTGGCTCATATTTCTCTCCAGACTGAAGGTTAAGGAGGAAGCAATAGCCCTTCAGATAGCAGCCTGTCAGTGACACACAGATTGCTCTCTCCTTGCAGCAGGGTTTGCACCCTTCTGGGACTGATTACCACCTTCCAGCCTGAAGATCCCTTTGGGGAGTTTTGCAGTGTGTTTAGACTTCAAATGGCTTGCAGAGAGGTTTTGGGAAACAGCTGGTCCCTGAACTTTCTTGCAGCTGGTTCTTTTCTCCTGCTTGTAGTGTGCTGATTGTATTTTATAGCTTCTCACCAGCCATCTCTTCACAAATGAAAGTGGCAGACCACAGGAGACATCCTGGGCTGCTTCTCCCAGCCTCCCAGCAAGCACCGAGCCACTGTGGAGGTCAATTAATGCTCTTTCTCCATGCTCCACCAGCACAGGTATCCTCCAGGGACATCCAGGCAGGGACAGAGCAAAGGAGCAGCATTGCTTTGCATCTTGAGACCCTTTCATCCTTGCTGCCCTCATGCCCTGCAGTGCTTGTTCAGAAAGCTGAACATGTCAGCTGGATGGCTCCTGGGTGCCAGTCATGGTGGTGCTTTTAGAATCCAATTGGATTGGATTCTAAAAGCTCAGTTTTCCCAATCTGTTCTTAGCTGAAGTGTATATATTTTTTTTTTTTCTTCTTTTTTTCAGAGCTGGAGTGTGATTGTAGGCAAAAAAGTAGTGAGTGCTGTTAGGACCTACTGTTCCTCCACCTGCCCACCTCCAGCCCAGCATCTGCTCTGCTTTTTCAGGCTTAATTCACAGCCAGTTCAGCTTCTGCAAAAGGAAAGTTAAACCAGAGCCAGTTCTTGAAGGCTGACAAGAAGGAAAGCAGCCTGTGCCTTCCCTTTGCCAAACACACATAGGTTCTTCTGCAGGGAGTAGGGAAGGTGCTCGAAGGGGCTCTTGGCATCAGCGAGGCAGAAGGTTTGGGAAGACACCATCTGTGAGCTGGGAGAGAGGAGCCCTGGGGACTGGGGTTAAGAGTCGATCCTGTGGTGCCCTTGGAACAGCTTTGATTCTGTGGTAACAGGGGGAAGCCCCACGCAAAGAAACAGGAATCAAGTCCGTTTTTTTGAGATGGATTCTTTCCTTCCCTAGCCAAAGTGGCAAGTGGCTTCTGAGAGGGAGAACAGCACAGCAGCTTGGAGGGCTGGCTGTCTCCAGGAGGAGAAACTGTTGCTGGGGAAGATCTTTGTGCCTCAGAACTTGCCAACTTGGGGGAGGAAGGACGAGGTATGCAGCAAAGATGAGATTTGGTGGGGGTGTGGGATGCCTGTGGGCCACCGAAGAGCAGTTGCCCAGCAGAGGGAGCAAGCCAAAAACCGACTCTGCCAAAGCTGAGAAGCTGGAAGAGAAAACCCTCTCTAAAAATGTAGATAGCACAGCACCTTGCATTGTGTGCACTATCCTGCAGCTGCCAGTCTCAGAATCATTCCCCATAGCCTTTAAAATGCAGACAGCTCCCTTCAAACTCCCAACTATTAGCAGAGTTTCCCCTGTTGTCTTTGCTGCTGAGGTGCCATACTTCATCTCCTCCATCTCCTGGAGAGCACATCCCATCTGCTGTGGTGACTCTGTCAGGAGCTTGGCAGCTCTCTTCTCACTTAATTGTCCACGTTTCTTACCACATGCTTCCTGCAGCATGTTTTACCAACAGCTCTGCAAACCATTTCTGTATACCTGGGGTGGAGTGGAGGGCACCTCCAAAGTCCATGGTGGGGCTTTTGGTTTCTATTCGCAGGTTTTCTGGCTGTCCTTCAAACTTTCTGCTCTTGTAACTGAAGTTTAGCCCTGGATGTGAACCTGGGGAAGTGTCTCTGCAGGACTACCTGGCTAGACTTCCTGTGCTGGCAGTGGAGACAAGTCCTCTCCTGGTCCAGAGCAGGAGCCTGGATTAGCTGCTCTGAATCTGTTGTTCCCCCTTGGCTCTCCGGGGAGCTGAGGCAAAGGAGCTGCCACCTGAGGTTTCCCACGTCAGGAAGTGAATGCCCCAAGCTCTGACAGCTGCTGTTCTGGGAGCTGCTTCTTTCCCACAGGGACTGTGGAGGACCCTGGCCTGAGCAGATGGGTAGGTGCTAAACCTTTTAGTCATGGTTCAGTGAGGTTCGTGCAGTGGATGCTGTGAAGTGATGCAGCTGATCTGCCCAGCCCATTCTGGGTTAGTCTCTTATTGTCTGCAGGGAGGACTTGGCCACGTCCTGTAAGCTCAAAATCCCAAAGCTCTCCTGGCTACCCCAAGGACCACTCTTTTCTCAAGCCTGAGGGAAGCATTGCCAGTTTGGAATGAGAGCCTGGGTGCAGACCAAGCTCTGCGCTCCCTGTGTGGTATTTCACCATGTAACCCCCACAAGGGCAGAGTTTAAACCTTTGAACCAGCAAAGACAAGAAGAGGAAACCAAAAAGCCTCTCTGGGTAGAGATGATAAGGAGTTGCTGGGGAAGAGTTTGCAAGAAGCTGCAGTCATCACGTTGGGGTCAGGATCAGCTCAGCTGGGTCATCTGAGGCTGACAGTGTGTCAGGGCAACAGGAGACAGAGAAGCACCATATGTGAAGAGGGTGGAAGGAAATCAGAAGTGGTAAGGGAACTTGGATTTATTAAAAGCTAGGAACAGAGGAAGATCTGTTGGGTTTTGAAACTCACTTTAGGGTTATGAAACTCACTTTAGAGTTATGAAGTGCATATTTCTCAGTTATCTGTGTTGATTCTCCTGCTGGGAAGAGCATCCCCATAACACATGGTGCTTGCTGCTGCCTTGTTTACCACCTTCTTCCATATCTGCACAGTTAATCTCTCAAACCCAAAACTTGAGGGTTCTTTCCTGGGTGCAGGCACCACTTACAAAGTGGTCTTGGTTTTGCAGCCTAGAAACTGTTTGTGATTTAAAAGCTGCTCAGTCCTGCTCCTGAAAGGTCATGACGATGAAATAGCTTTGCTGGAGTGCTGCAGGTCTGCCTCAGAAACGGTTCCCACCACAGAAACCTGTGAAATACTTCTAAGGAACACAAAGCTGATGTATTTTGATCTGGGCTATTATTTTTTGAGAGCAGGGATCTTAGAAGATTTAGGTTTTCCATTGGTTTTGCTATGACCTCCATCTGACAGCCTACCAGACACTCGTAGGGTAACTGGAGCTCTCTCGGCAACTTCTCCCTTTAGGACAGTGAACTCCTGACGTTCAACATCTCACGGCACCAGTCCTGGTGGAGTGAAAACGGCCCTGGCTGTGTCAGGAAGGAGGCTTCCACAGCTGGCATCAAGGGGCTGGACAGCCACTCCTACGTCTCGGTGATCGGCTGTGCCCTGGAGTACCGGTACATCGAGGTGATGCACAGCTCCTGCCAGATCCTGCTCGCAGTGAGTATGGCCCTTTTGTGGTGAAGGAATAAAAGGGAGGATTCTTATCTCCAGAAAATGAGAGAAATGTGAAAGGAAGCAGAAAGCAGCATGTTTTCTTTCTGCTGACACCTAAGGTCTGCGCACTAAATGTTTTCACCAACTCTTTCCTCACCAAAGTCTTCCTGCAGCCTTTTAAAATTACTCTGCAGTAATTCAGTGTCCTTAACGTTCACTGTTAATTTTTTCTCACTTTTCTGCACAATTAACAGAAACAAACTGCCCGTTGTCCCCCTTGCTCTGGTGGTGTTCTTGAGTTAGCAGCCTGCATCTTTCTGCTCTGCTTTGGGTTGTTATTTTGTGGTTCATGGCCATAAATACAAACAGTCGTGGAGTGGAGAAATGTTCACGTTTCAGCTTCCAGTTTTGGCTCAGAGAAGGGTAACTTAGCCTGCCTAAATGTTAAAGGATAACAAAGAGACAAGTTCCAAATACTTCTCTGCACGTTCTTGGTACAACTTTCTGTTGTCTGGATCCTGCCTTTCCTATTAGCTGGGATGATCTGTGTGACCCAGTGAACTGCAGCGAGGGGGGAAGACCCAGCCCCCTTTAGTCCATGTCACAAAAAAAAAGAGGCAGACAGAGGAGCTCCTGTTTCCTGAGTTGGATGGACTCCCTGGCGTGTGTGCTGGCTGTTAATATTTGGTTAGTTCTCCTTCAGGGAAAATGATCTGCATTAAACTGTCCGAGGGTTGCTGATGCATGTGTGTGAGAAGGGCAAACCTGGGATCCAGAATAGAGCCTGTTGTCCCCTATAAAGGGCTGTTTGCTGGAAGGGGATTGATGCTGCTGAAACAACTGACAGCCCTTGAAATCAGAACATCCCAGACTTTTAAAGTGCAGAACTCTGTTACTGCTAGCATCCTTCCTACCCCCTGAGCTGGCACCAGCCCCTCTGCCCCAGGCAAGAGGTTCAGCCAACAAATGGTCCTGAGCTGGCTTGGAACAGACCTTTGTTTTTTGGCAGCTTACTAACATAAGCACAGGGCCCTGAGCTAAGTGATCACACCCACACAGACGTGTCTGTGTCTCCAGGAGTGTTTTCTGCTTTGCTTCTTCCCAAAGGCACATGACAATATTCTTTGTGCATCTGCAACAAGGCACAAAGGGCCAGATGGGAAGACAGAGGGAACTGTAAGATAGAGGAGTAAGGTAAATGTTTTCTTTCTCCTCCTCCTCAAGATGTAAATTGAAGTGGATTTTTGAATCCTAAACTCTGGGAATGAGGGTAAAATACTTGTATGCAGGAAAGCTGTATGGGCTGAGCTGTGCAGAGTGAGGTAAACTGCCTCTTGTCCTGGAGTAAAGGTAGAGTGTTGAAGCTCCAGGCCTGTAACTCCTGCCAGCTCTGAAATACTTGTGCAATTTTGTCATGCAGTGGGAGAAATAGAGTTTTTCCTCTCTGCTTTGCTGAGCTAAGGCAGAAAGCAAGACTCTTCACCTTCCCACTCAGACCCTGCCTGAAAACAGCCAGCCAGTTCTCTCCCTTTTTAGTCTCCGAGGGTCAAACTCTTTGATCCCTGCCAGTATCTTTTTCTGTTCTCTTTATCTCATTTTAAGGCAGATTTTATTACAGGCTGCTGTCCTTCCCAGGGCTCCTGGCAGGTCCCATGCTGCAGACAGCCAGCGAGACCAATCGATAGGACAAAAAACACGACGAGGAGCTGGAAGGCTCAGGGGATGCAGCAAGGGACATGACCTAGTTCCCTCCTTCTCTGCCACACATCTCAGAACAGAACAGTCAGTGCCCTGGGACAGGCAAAATTGGGCTTTCTGTTGATTTTTGCTTTGCCCAGTGGTTTTTAGAAGTTGTGGGGGGTGTGTGGTTTTGGGGTTTTTTTTAATGATTATTTTAAGTTGCAGATATAGTGCCACACATCTCAGAACAGAACAGTCAGTGCCCTGGGACAGGCAGAATTGGGCTTTCTGTTGATTTTTGCTTTGCCCAGTGGTTTTTAGAAGTTGTGGGGGGTGTGTGGGTTGTTTCGTGTGTGGTTTTGGATTTTTTTTTAACGATTATTTTAAATTCCAGATATAGCAGTGTGACATGCATGTCCTTTAAGCAGTACTCAGCTGTGGATATTTTGGTTGTTTTCTGAAAATACTGGTTTCTTGAGGTTACTGTAGTGCACCACGTTGTGGACCTGGGGTAAGGCTCACTGAATTCAATCTGGCATGCCAAAAAAGAGGGAAAGCAAACCTGAGCCCATATGGTGAGCACAGTCTTGGCTGTTATCTTGGCTCCTGCTGACTGTATTAGCCTGCTCCTAGGCATACATTTGAAGACACATAAGGTCCCAGCCTGCTTCTGCTCAGAGCTTGTCTCTGCTCCTTGAAGGCAAAAGCAACTCCTTTAATCTGGAATGTGATCAAATTTGGGCATATCAGTCACAACGTATGATACAAGCAGCTCTAGGGCCCAGTATGAAAAACTAGCAGTGTGTTAGCACAGAACATGTTGGAGGAAAAAGCTCATTGTAAATACATCTTAAAGTCTACGCTGGTATAGAAATCTCCCTGTAAAACTAATCCTACCAACCCAATTAGGACATGCAACAGCAATTAGTTTGTCAAGAAAAGAAATCTGCTTTGTTTTCATCGTGCCTCTCCCCAGCTTGCCAGCCAGCAGGGAGAGGAGTGATTTCTAGTTCTGAAATACCTGGCATAGCTCTGGGCTGTCCATATGGTTGTTCTGGGAGCTGGGGAGGGGAGGGGTGTTAGTTTTTTCCTGAGGCTCCATCGAATGGGATGGAAATTGGAAATGTCTTCCCAACCGAGAGAACTCGTTGCCTGCCTGTCTGCTGTTTTCACTCAGACTGACAGGCTGGAAGGTTCCCAGGAAGGCTGCAGAGCAAGCCTGGACAGCAGATGTTATGTGAGAAGCAACACGCGAGAGATGCTTTGCTGTTGGCAGCAGCTAGATTTTCAGTGGTGGTAATTGCATCCAAAGAGTAAAGAAGGTCAGGGACTCAAAGGATTTTGGTTGCCTCTTTTTGGCTATCTGGTCACAATAGCTCTTTCACAAGCTGGCTTTTTGCTGTTTTGTAGCAGAGATCTTTGTTTTCCCCCTGTTGCACTGCTGAGAGCGTGCACACTTCATAGCTCTGATGAGAAGTGAAGCCTAAAAGAGATCTGCCCCAAAAGAGGAGACTCTGCACCTTTTCTTTTTAGTGAAGATTCCAGAATCTTCACTAGGACAAGATGCAGACTAAAGCTATGATCTTACACAAGCAATAGCAACAACTCCTAAAATTTCCCTTCCCGTCCTTCACACATTTTGCACCCTTGCAGTCGGTTGATCCCTTTCTGTAAGGGACCTGCTCAGGAATCTTGCAGGTCATGCTGCTGTAACTCAGTCTTGCTGGCTCCAGCACTTCAGTTCAATGCTCTGGTGGATGAACACATTTCAACTCGCTATTAAAAGTTCACTTCAGCTGCCTGAGGGGCAGAGGGCTGCACGGATTTACATTTGTCCCGTTCCCTCTGGGTACGCTTGTCTCTTCCTGCCTCTCCTGCTCTGTTCGTTTGCCTGCAGGATGCTTGGGATGTCCCAGCTCCATCCTCTTCCCCTCGGCAGCATGTGCGTTCCCAGGCTGCCTGACAGGCTGACTGAAGACACCTGCCCAGGACATGTGTTCCTAATAAAAAGCTTAATCGGATACTTCTGCAGCCTGGAGGAAGCTGGTACTGAACATGCAGAACAAGTCAAGAGACAGCAGCAGAGGCTAAAGCCCAAGAACATTCTTGGGGGAATTAGACCCATAGCTTAGTGTCATTTTACACCACTGATGTTCCCCCTCCTCTCCCACCTACCCTTGATAATTTGCAAAGATCTAAGAATTATCACTGTTTCCTTGGGGTAGTAGAGCTTAAAACCCTCTTTGGTATTGAAACCAGCAACCAAGGTGGCACTTGGAACAAACGACATTGCTTCCAAATTCTGGGCCTCTGTGAAGCTTCCAGGTCTGTGTTACTTGCTGCTAAACTTGGTCATGTTTGGGGGCTTGATAATCCTTCATCTAGGATAGAGTCAGAAGGGAACCACTGGTGATGGTGATGAGGAGACTTTGGAGTCAGCTCATCCTATGTTCTAACAGACTCTTCCAGAGAGCAGGACTGGACAATAGGAGCAGCATTTCACCTCTGTAGCTATATTTCATTCATAATTCATGCAGGAGGTAAAAATATGGGCAATCCCAGGAGTTTATTCCATCCCTGAGGTGATATGTTTAATTATAACTTATGTCAGCCCCTATAAAAATGCAATTCATGTTTATGTTGTAAGTATCTTCCCTCCTTGCCACTGAAACTCTTTTGTTGCAGCCCTCAGATGTTCCCTGACATGTGTAGGTACATGTTGTTCAGGATAATAACAGGGAATGGATTCAGGGCTGCCACTTTGCATGGCTCTTAACCTCAAGGTATAAAAATATGGAAAAAAATGGAGAACCTTCCTCAGGTTCCCTTGGAATCAGGGCACATGTTCAAGAGGTCTTTCCTGCTTGGATGTTTGTGTGTATGGAAACTGCAGGATTTGACCTTCCATCCTGTTAAATGAAAAAGGTTGGGTCTTCCAAGTAGAAAATAAAAAGAAAAAAACCAAAACCTGATCTGAGGGGGGTGCAAACACACATCTGTTGGAGACCACGGCACGCGGATGGGTGGTGAGACATCTCCCTGGGTGCTGGGACAGCTTCAGGCTGAAGCCCTCTGGTTTTCCAAGAGCAGTGAGTGGGAGTGTTGCCTCCCAGAGCCCAGCTGGTGGGTGCTGGTCGCTGAGGTCGTTGCTGATGTCACACCGAGCTGCTGAGGTCACCGCTGATGTCACAGGGCCCCGGGGAGCAGCCCTGGGGCAGCGTCAGCACCATGGTCAGTTCCCGGCCCCAAACCTGCCCGGAATGAGCCCAAAGCGCCCGGAGGAAACCCGGCTCCCCAGGCCTTGGCTCAGCACTGAACAAGCAACAGCAGAGAAGAAAAATAGCTGATTATTCTCATTATTTTTCTGCCTGGAGCATCTCTGTGCAGAGGGAAGGCTGAGAGCCCTGGGGCTGCTGAGCTTGGAGAAGAGAAGCCCAAGAGGGGATCTGATCAATGAGCTGAAGGGTGGGGCCAAGAGGATGGTGGCAGTCAGTGGTGCCCAGTGATAGGACAAGGGGCAATGGGCACAAACTGGAACCCAGGAGGTTCCATCTGAACGGGAGGAGAAGATTCTTTGCTGGGAGGGTGCCCAAGCCCTGGAGCAGCTGCCCAGAGAGGCTGTGGAGTCTCCTGCTCTGGAGAGATCCCAAAACCCTCCTGGACACAATCCTGGGCGACTTGCTCTAGGTGACCCTGCTCTAGAACGAGATGGTCCCTTCTAACCCCTCCCATGCTGTGATTCTGTGGGTTGCTTGTTTGTATGGTCGGTTGGTTGGGTTGGGTTGGAGTTGCTGGTTTTTTTTCTGCCTTTACAAAGAAACCCACCTGGACACAATCCTGGGCAATTTGCTCTAGGTGACCCTGCTCTAGAATGAGATGGTCCCTTCTAACCACTTCCATGCTCTGATTCTGTGTTTTTTTTGTTTGTTTGCTTGTTTATATGGTCGGTTGGTTGGGTTGGGTTGGGTTGGAGTTGCTGGGGTCTTTCTGCCTTTACAAATCAATGGTTTTATTCGGAGGCAATTCTAAAAGTCAGCAGGTAAAATTAGATTGGCCCTTGCATGTGGCCTCCTGGTTAGCATCACACCCAGAAGGATTTTTTATTAGTAATTTTTTTTGCATAAAGTCCACTGTAGCTCACCAAAATCCAGCACTGGTTTCCAAAATGCACAGCAGGGGACTGAGCCCATAGAGTACTTCCCTTCCACTGAGGCACTGGGACATGCTCCCCTAAGGCTCACCCAAGAGGAAAGGAGAGAGCTGACTTATCTTCCAGACAATTCAAGAAATTTTAAAGGCAATACAAGGTTTAGTGATGGTACAAACCCCCTCGATCTCCTTCCATCCAGGTGTGTTTTCTCAGAGCTGGAGAAACCAAAAGCCTTATACCTCCTCAGCAGAAATCTCATTATCTTGCCTTTTGTTTGCTGCTGTGATCTATTTTTCTGTCATGTTAAAAATGAATGGACTCCACTTTTCAAGCCCTACCATGCATCATCCTGTCTTCTCTTGGAGAGAGTCAGTGGATGCTACATCCCAACTCCTGTTCAAAAGAATTCAGCTCACAGTGGAAAACAATTATCTCTTACAATAACTCTGCTAACACAGTTACTGTCAGCCAAGATCTCGCTAAGTGGGGAGTTATGTAAAGATGGAAAATGAAGGAGGGAGAGGAGATTTGATTAACAGGAAGAAGGCAAAGCAAAATAAACCCCCACTGGAGCTAAAATGCTTAACTCCCATAACACCAGAAGTTTGTTTCTCAATTCAGGCTGGGTAACAACTTGCTGCTAAAGCTGAATGAGGCAGTTCTGATGCTTTAGAGCTTCTTCAAACTACCAGCTAAGGGCAGGCCCACCAGGCTCCTTTAAATTGCTTTTTTAATGTGGGTTTTAGTTGCTTGCTCTAAAAGCTGCTCTGAGCAAGGGGTTGACATGAGCCACACCACGCCACGACTGCTGCTATTTGAGAGGCACCCTATTGTTTTACTGCTCCTTCCCTGCTTCTGTCTGGTCCCCAGGAGGTGGCATTTTACTGCTAACCTAGGCAATTTGTGAATCAAGACCACTGATATCATCTTGACTCTTTCTCACCATGCTCTGGCCCATTTACTTGGCAGGCCCAATGCTTCATTAGTCCATGCAGAGTGTTTATACAGAAAGAACCTTAGAAACTGTAGAGCTAGACTAAGACTGGGATTTCTTGCCAATGAGTTTTGGATCTCCAAGCCTATGTTACTAAAGATTTCAGTGTCTCTGAACACTGCTGCCTGTACATCACCATTTCATGGGAGGTGTTTCTCCCCTTCTGTTACACTCTCATGAGACCCCACCTGCTGTACTGTGTCCAGCTCTGGAGCTCCCAACACAAGAAGGACATGGACCTGTTGGAGCAAGTCCAGAGGAGGGCCATGAAGACCATCAGAGGCTGGAGCACCTCTCCTACAAGGACAGGCTGAGAGAGTTGGGGCTGTTCAGCCTGGAGAAGAAAAGGCTCCAGGGAGATCATATTGCAGACTTCCAGTATCTGAAAGGGGACTACAAGAAAGCTGGGGAGAGACTTTTCACAGGGGCTTGTAGTGGTTGGACAAGGGTTAATGCATTCAAACTGGAAGAGGGAATGTTTAGATGAGAAATGAGGAAGTTGTTCTTCACTCTGAGGGTGGTGAGACCCTGACCCAGGTTGCCCAGGGAAGCTGTGGATGCCAACACTGGATGTGCGCAAGACCAGGTTGGATGGGGCTTTGAGCAACCTCCTCCAGTGGGAGGTGTCCAAGCCCGTGGCAGGAGGGTTGGAACTAGATGATCTTTAAGGTCCCTTCCAACCCAAACCATTTGATGATTCTAAAGCTTTGCTGATTAATTAATTTTCTCTCTCATCTGCATTAAAACTATTCACATCTTGGTGGTAGCTCCTGCACCAAAGTAATTTCTCTTCCCTTGCCATACCCCTTACAACAAGAGTATAGAGTTCTTATCTCTGGCTCTCTGTTAGTAAAACCTATCCCTGTATGTTTGTGTCTGTCCTGTACATAGATGCCTGTCTAAAATGTTTCATAGGACACTCTCCTTCTCCCCCATTGCTTCTTACAGTGAGCAAACATAGCAGGGTAGTTTTGGTGTCAACAATACCAACCTGTGTCCTTGCCAGTCATTCTAGCACAGCAGATTGCTCTGCTGAAGATGGAGATGGACCTTGCAGGATTTAGTTCTGAGCTTTAAGTGTGCTCCCAGCAGTCTTCCCTTAAGCCTAGACCTGCACCTCCCACCTTACAGCAAGTAGGACTTGGCTCCACCATTGCAGCAGTGCTGCCAAGCTAAGGAGGAATCCTGGCTGTTGAAGTCATGCCAGGTAGGTTTTGACCAGCCTCACAAGACTGGTGCTAAAATGATTTATTCTCTCTGTTTTCCAGCTGGTGGGCTTCGTCTATGCCTGTTATGTTGTTAGTGTTTTCACAGAAGAAGAAGACAGCTGTAAGTATTTCTCAACAGGCCCTTTGGGAAAGGTTTTATTATGTTTTATTTCTCTCTCAGATGTTTGTCTGTAAGGACTGAGGTGCCATCAGACATCTCTCCATCTAGATGACGTGGCACTGCCTACCTTTCACAGATCAGCTGGTTTTACTGTGAGGGTTTTTTTCCCCCATGTCAATATATGTTAGATGCTGTCATTCTGCTATGCTTTCAAGATAAAAAAAAAGGTTCAGTTTTGGCTTTTCACTCAGACTAAGCTTTAGAGAAACTCTGCTCTCAAGTTCATATAGCTTAAGACTACTGCTGCTGCAATATTCCCACTGGAATTAGGAGTACCTACAAGGAAGAACACAGCCCAGTACTCGTCGGCCACCCGCTGAGTGTCATATGCTCCAAGCTGAGGGTGAAGCAGAGCAGGAGATTTCTTGCCAAGGACCAACCTGACCACTTAATTTAAAAGCAGAAGTGCTGTATTTGAATGACAAGGAGGAGGGAGCAGCTGACTCCCTCTGGTTTGCTACACAGATCTCTGGAGTGCCAGAGAAGAGCAAAGACTCAGAGGAGTCCCCTGGGTCTGTGGGATGCATGCAGACATCCCTAACCTGTCCCTGGATTGTTTTGCCTTTCTAAAACTCCCTTTGAAGCCAATAATTTTACAATGGAATCATAAGGTTCAAATAAATGTGAAGTCTGATTTCTTTGGCAGTGTGTTGGGTCCAGGTGAGGATGTGATCCAAAGGCTTTCTAGCCAACTATCACTTCTTGAAGGCATTCATTAGGTTTGGGCAAGTAGCTTTGTTATTTTAAAGAGCAGCTGGCATGGATGTTAGCTGAAAAACAACAGCTTTGAAAGGAATGTTTCAAAGCACGTTGATTTCATTGGAGGGAGATGAGATGTGTTGCTTATCTGACTTGTCCTCATGTTTTCCTGTTCCTTCCCCTGTGCCTGAACTCACCTCACTGGCTTTATTGATCATTTCTTTAGAGCTTGGCAGTGCACTCAGCAAAGGTGCTACATGATAAACAGTGTTTTTTTTAATTACCCTATAGCTTTGCTATTAGCTAAATAGCTGGAGTTCTGAGCCCCTTTTGAATCCTGTAAAGCAATAACTTGACAGAGCTCATTTTTATAGCAGGGATCTGCTAGGAGAGGCAGCCACATGGAAAGAGGCATTATCTAGAAACACAGACCTGTTAATTTAAAGATTTATGTTTTTTTCCCCCACTAACAAATTCCTTTTCCCTCCCAGTTTCTCAGCTTGGTGTTAAAATGCCAGCTTGAATAATTAACAATGACAAACCATCAATATTTCACACTCACAGTGGTAGATCCTTCCAGTGACCTGAACAAATCTGAGCCACGTTTTAATTTTCTCTCCCATTTGTGGTTTCCTTTAAATGTTGCTTTGATAGGCAGCACGAAGTAATTATAAGTGCTGAGGCACATTAATCAGGAAAGCTCATGCTAACGTGATTTTCATGAGAAAACACAGCAGTGGGGATCTACTAATGCTGAATTGTGGGCAAGAATATTTGAGGTGTGCTAATGCATTGTAATATATTGCAACAATGAGCTGCAGTTAAGGGCTGGGGTTTTTTAAGTGCCTCAGATTTTGAGTGCTAACATGGCCAGGTGCTCAGATGATAGAACTTTGGTTTGTTTAAGGTATTAGCTACTAAAAATTGCAATTCTTTAAGGCTTCCTCATTTAGACATTCCACAACTGAGGTGATATAGTACCTTTTTTTTTAAAAAGAAAAAAAACTGAAGACTGTCTTATTTTTAAAATACTTCAACATTTTCAAAAGTGGCTGGGAAAAGATGAAGTCTCACTGGAATGACTGGGAATTGTCCTCCTTAATTTGCTTAGAACCTCTACAAATTTCACCCATTCACTGACAGTTGTTCCAGAATCACAGTAGCAGCATAAACCAAGAGGGATTTTCTGAGAATATGTTGTCCTTGGGTTTCTAAATATATTTTAATAGAAAAAAATTAAGATAAAAACCCTTTGTTTGTTCACTAAATACCACAACTCTTTATCTAAAGTTTAAAATAATAGTGCCACCTTCAGGAAAGAAAAAAAAACCAGATACTTATATAATTAAGAAGACTCCGGTTATTTTTCAGTGGTAGTTGGATGGCTTTCACACTTCCAAACAAAAAATGCACTAACTTGGCACCAAAAAGTGGCCTAAGCTGGATCTGTTTGAAAAGGTTTTTGCAAGGCCTGCTAGGTCAGCCCCAAATCACAGCCCTGCTGACCTGGCTGGGTTGGCCAGCTCAGTGATATAGACTTGGCCTAATTTCAGGGGAACTAAGAGAGACTTGGAAAATTCTTCTGTGGTTACCAAGGGACTTGTCACTTCAGACTCCCCTTGTGTAGTCACACTGCCCCTATGTGAAGGCTGGAGAAGGGAAGCATTGTTCCCACTTGTATACAATTAAAAGAAATAGAGTTGGCAGAGGGGACGTGAAAAAATATCAGTGCTGAAGATAATGAGGTACTCGGAGTTTCCCAAAGCTGCTGTTGTCTGTCTTGCAAGAAAGACAAGTGGGGCAAGGAAAAAAAAAACCCTCTTACTTGACTACAGAAGCTCCCTGGGGATTGCTGTGCTGCCAACTTCTCTGCTGGCACCCACTGCCGAGCTGTTCCCCAGCTTCCTCCCCTCGGCACACGGCTGGACGGCCGAGGCCGGGGCAGCTCAGCTCTCCTGGGAGGTCACAGCACGGTGGCAAGAGCCAAGGGGGCTGAGGGAGGCCCCTCTTGTTTTTCTGGAGTCTTTTCTTAGCTCTGCTTTAAGTCTGGGGTTAGCTGAACCTTCTCCTTGGCACACTTTCTAGACATCCTGGAAGAGAGGTCTGTAGGGGCAGAGATTTCCACCAGGCAATCCATACCTGAAAAATCATTTTCTTTTCCTCTGTTCTCTCACTAATTTGTGTTGTGCCATGACATGCACCAGCTTTTTATTTCCTTTCCTTTCAACGTTTTGGCCATGTTTGTTTGTTTATTTGAGTTCTGATTTTTTTTCAGTTGATTTCATTGGTGGATTTGATCCATTTCCTCTCTACCATGTCAATGAAAAACCCACCAACCTTTTGTTCAAGCAGACATACCTGTAAGTATCATCTCCTGCCACTGTGAGGCTGGGTGTGCCTCTTAGTTTGAGGGCTCAAGGGTGCCACAGGTTTGGGGTTTTCCCTCCTTGCAGGTTGATTTCTCCAGCAGGCTTTTCAGGCATGAACAAGTGGACACCAGAAGGGTTGAAATGGCCTCTGCTGAGCCCAAGTTGCCAGGGTGGAGCTGGTGTTTGCCATGCTTGGCTCATGGCAGTGCTGTCTGATAGGGAGCAGTGGATGTTACTGTCAATAAACTACTGGATGCCTTTGCCTTGAAGAAAGCCAAGGGAGGCTTTCCACCAGTGAATGGTGCCCAAGGAGGTAAAGGTAGGAGGAAGGAAGAGGCAGCCTCAGTGGATGCTGAGAATAAGCCACAGGATTAGTAGAACATGATTCTCCAGGTTAAGCTGTGGTCTGTCAGTCAATCTCAGTCTTTACTGTGGTAAAATGTATCCAACACCTGGTTATTTAAGCTGCATTTTAGTTTCAGACAGTCACAGCTGAACTCTGACCTCTATACATCCATGCAGTTTTGATCACTGGCACTTCATCCTCCAAGAATCTCATGGTAGCACCACAAAATTTGGTTGTGTCTTGGGTGCAGAGTCTCCCTGTACCTGCTTGTGCTTCCAGGGAACCTGCAGGGTACAAAGCTTGCAGCAGTGAGCTCAGTTAAACTGTTAGGTGGTTTGTGTGCAGGATGGGACAGGTTTGCTCTTTATTTTTTTTTAAAAGGAAGAAAAACTTTTTCTGTTGACTCTTAAGAACAGAGGTTCCTATGTGTGGGGCAGCCCAGGAGTTCCAGGGAGGGCAGTTGTCCACAGCAGCTCCTCTCATACCACGAATAGAGATCTATTGTTGGGGTCCAGCTTCTGCCCTCTGACAATCTCTTCCCACTGCTGAAGGCACAAGGTGACACTTTCACACTTAAAAGCTGGTTTTTAATGAGATTCTCAGACATCAAGGCCAGTGTTATCTGTTTAAAGCAGCAATAAGATCTGAGTTTTTTGATACTCTTTAAATAGAGCTGCAAGAAGGCAGCTGCTAAGGAAGGTTGGGTTTTTTGGGGGGAATGTTAGCAAAGAGTCCTGCCAAAGAGAAGGATATGAAGAAGTGGGGCTGAGGGAAGAAAAGCTGCCCCCAAATAGATCTGTAGATGTTCCACTCTAATGTACTATGGACTTGCTCCCTACTTTGCCATCACAGCAGAAGACCATGAAAACAATTTTTGTAAAGCAGCTGAAATTTCTGTGACTTTGGGGGTTCTATGGCATTATTAGAAGGGCTGCTGCAGGAGATAAAATGAGAAGGAAATCAATATCTAGTCAGTGGGATGGAATTTTCCCTAGTCTGCAGAAGCTGGGGAGCTTTAAGCAGCTCCCTGATTTACTAGCTTGATGCAGCATGGTGCTGAAGAAAAAAATCACAACTTTTACATTTTCATAAAAATGACAAATTCTGCTGGTGAAAGATGCTGGTACTTATAAAGGAAGTTTTCTATATGGGGAGACTGTAATATGAACAGAAGCCAGCAACATAAAACTTCCTTACAAAGGCCTCAGGAAGATGGGAAGCTCCTACTGAAGCACACAGATAATATTGTTGTTCTTCAGTTCCATTCTTCAGACCATCACTTATCTATTGATAGCTTCTGCCAGCACAATATAATATTTCTTTCTGGCTCACAGGAGGTGAAAACAGCTGCTGAGCAGTAGATAAGGTGACCCTCTATACATTTCACCAAACAGCAATTTTTGTTCATTTCTTTCAGCCTGGCTTTTGTCTGTCTCCCACATATATGGATAGGAGAGAGAGGAGGAATGAAGACTTGATTCCTAGCTCATGATGCCAGGGGGTTTTGCAGCCCAGGGCACTCAGTGCCAGATTCCCTTGTCCTGCTGTCAAAATTGCTTCATGATGACTGAAAAAAACATCCTTTTTTATATCCTATTCAAGAAGATGCAAAACAAACGCATCCAGCTTCTTTCAAGTTTAAATTTAACTATCAGCTAGTGGTCAGGAACATGAGATTTCAGTTCATAACTCCTTTCTGTTGAAGGAAATGTAGACTGGATTTGGTTTTGTTCAGCAGCTCAAGACTTTGAGCTAACTGCAGCCATGAACTTTGTTTTAGGATGGCATCACCCCATTGTCAGCTGCTCTTCTGATAACGCACTTGCCCTGTTGCCACAACTTAACAGGATCACTTTCCTTCCCTCCCTAATGGAATTACCCTATTCACTCCAGTTTATCTCTCCCTTTCTGATGAGATCACATTCTTCCCTCTCCTCCCAGTGTGCCCTTTCCCTTGTCCTGGCTTGGGTTTTCCCCACAGCATCTCTTCTTCATTGCTCCAAATTGATGAATTTTCATAGATCAGAGGGACCCACAGAACAATGACATTGACCTAGACTGGTGAGCACAGCTCAAGTTCAGGCCCATCCTCCTTAACCTCTGTATCAAGCACACAGCCTACGAGTTGGCTAAATACACTGTCACAGTTCAAAGACATTCAGGGGAAGCTGCTGTGCTCTTGGCAGCCTACTTCAGTGGTTATCAGCTGCTAAATTCAGGATTCAAAGTGCACAGCCCATTTCTGGCCTTCAGCTTCCATCCACTGCACTGTGAGACATTCTGAAGTACCTTTACCTCCTGCTAGGAGGAAAAAACATGTCCCCAGGCTATGGCTGGTAATAGGTACTTCCAGACCACAAAGCAGTTACCTCCCAGCTTTATCCTGGTCATCTGCTGACCTCCTTGACTTCAGTTGCCAAGCTCCACTTAGTGAACACCTCAGAGGTTACCAAGTCAGGTGTTATTTGTCTTTTTAAAAGAGCCAACAACAAAATACCATGCAAGAGTTTTGTACTGTTGCTTACAAAGCCAGGATTTAAGTGGGCTTCATCCTAATTAGCACCTCCACCACTTACAGAGCAGCAAATGCTATTCTACAAATGCAGTTATTTCTATTTCAGGTTCCACAACTGCTTCTGTTCCTCATTGACTCTGGTTGTGATAGTTCCTACTTCAAGTCACAAGCTTCAGAGACTCAAATTATCATAAAAATTGTTCTAAAAGTTTTACTGTGTAACAGAACTACCTTTAATCTCACTGGTGATTCCCCATCCAGGCACTGCATTAATTGTTTCATAAATTACTGTGAATGATTGTATAGGAATCTTGATAGAAGACATGTTAAAGTCTTCAGTCTGAGTTCCTGGGTCAAAGTACTTAACCGAAGGATAATAAATCACTTACTGAAAGCCACAGTTATTCTCTGGAGACCAAAGGATAACATTTCCAAGGAGTTTTCAGGTAGGAAAGGCTGACCTCTTAGTCCTGCCACAGCTAAAGCTCAAATTCAGGCCATGCCTGCTTGCACCACTGCCTCATCTTGTGCTGCACAGGACAGGACATCAGCTCCAAGCTGCTTTTGTGCTTGTTCACTTGTACTCACAGTATTCTCATCCTTTGAGGCAAGGAAGGATTCCTGCACTAGGTAGGTGTGAAAGGGTTAACCAAGACAGCTCTGAAGCTTCTGGCTAAAGCTGTTATCTCCAAATCCCCTGCAATACCTGCCAAGCCAGGAAGATGCCCAGATCAGTCATTTGTCAGCCCTTCCTGCCTGCTGCATCCATTCAGTCTTTGGACATCATTCTGTGAGTGTTTCAGGAAGCAGCACTCTGCAATCTCAATTATGAAGCAGCACAGTCTCAAAGCATGATTTTGGACATGATTTAGTGCTAAATCAAGAGCCTGCAGGATGACAGGAGGTAGCCTGTGTTTCATTGAAAGAGAGATGAGCAGTAGATCTGCCTTTTAGGAGTGTGTTTGTAAGGCCAAGCAGTGAACTGCAGTTGTGAGGCTCCATCAGACTCCCTGATCTGGCACCCCAAGGACTACATCACATTAATGGCTTAAGAGCTTTAGCTTGATTTTAGTCATGTAGCCAGATTTCACTGAGTTGGCTTCCCTCAGATGTCTCAGGGGCAAGGGCTCTATGGCACCATAGGGTGTGACTTCTCCAGGGTGTAGACTTCAGTATTGACAGGGTAGCAACAGGAGGTATTGGTTGATTGAATGATGTAAGGCTACACTGCTGGTTGCTCATTTTAATACTCCCTAATCAGTTCTTCTGTGGTGCTGTCTGTCTGCCAGAAGCATAAAGCAGCTTTGAGCATACAGTCTTCAAGGACTAGACCCCCACTTACAGGTTGAAAGTAGGTTCCTCAGTAGGTCAGCTGATAGGTACAAGTACACAGACAACATTCTTCAATTAAAAAAGATCAAAATCCTGACTAAAACACTGGGGGAGGGAGGAGGGAAACTCCTTTAGGATTAACATCCTCTCCCACCACCTCCAAACTTTGATAAACAGGAAAAAAAAAAATCCCACTTTTTGAGGAGAAAAAACAAACCACAGAACAAAATGCTTCTGCTTTTCTTTCTAGGTAGACTTTTTTCCCAAACAAACAATTTGCTGAATATCAACATGAATTTGCAAACTGTTTTGATCAACCTGAAGCTGCATGTTTAAGAGGTGATGTTTCAGCTGAAAACATTCACTCATCTCTTACTGCTGGCTACAGAAATAGATCTGCTTACACTGATGCATCTACACAAAACCCACAGCACTGCAGTTTGCAAGAAGCTACTTTATTCTAGAGATTACCTCTAGCTTCTAAATTTCCTAACCAGATTTTATGCAGCTCCAAATGCTGAGGACACAGATCTAACACTTGGCTCTTCTCTACTCCTTAATCTAACTGCAGTGTGCTCAGGTCTGGTGTATGCATAGAGTTCTTTCTAGACTTGAAGACTATTTAACCACATTATCTGAGCTCTCAATCCCATCCCTCAGCTGTAGTCAAGCTCATTTAAAAACCCAGAACAGAAGAAAACACACCAACAGCTTTGTCCTCCTTATTCCCACACCATTTCTGTTATCTTAAGTAAGCAACTTAGTACTTGCTCCAGACTGATGCTCTACCTTCACTTTTCCCCCTCCTACAGGCCTGCGTAAGTGAAGAGGAGCCAGAGGATGGACAAACCTTGCACTCCACCAGCAAAGCTGCTGCAGGAGACAACCCCCTGTGGCCAGGATCTTTGGCAGAGGAAATGCAGGATGGTGAACTCCATTCCATTTTTTTTTTTTTGGTTCCTTGTCTTCTTTTCCAATGCAATGAATGTACATGAAGAGTGGCCGTGAGGTTGGGTTTTAATTCTCCAAGTGCCCTGACAAACCATTCCTACCACAGGCTGGTGGTACTAGCCAATAAATGGCACAGACCTGGAGGCCTCAGGCAGAACAAGTTCACCAAGAGCCTCTCTCTGAAGAGAAGTTGAAGTTGGAGCTGCTTCCTTGCACCATGGATCCACAGAGAAGGCAGCACTGCACAACACCCTGGGACATTTCAGATGTTCTGTAGTTTCTTCCCCTTCTCCTTCCCCTTGTTCTGAAAAGAGCCTTTATCCCCTAACACAGCTTCATCTCCTCCCTGCCTGTGTAGAACTAGGTGGGGGCTAATTACATTTGAGTTTAGACTTTTTTTTTTAAGTTATAGATGAGAGTTCTTCCCTTCTGCCCCCCCACCTATCCAAGACTTCCTTCCTCATTCTCTATTCTGTAGGCATGGCCTTAGCAGTAGGCATTTGTTCTGGATTTCAGCATTCCTATAATGCTGAACAGCTAAAAACTAGTACAAGCACCAATCCTTACTCAGCATGGAGCTTAGCCCCATCTCAACATGCCAAGCCATCCTCAGAGCAGCTGTAGCTTACTCTGGGTGTCTCATCTACATTAAATTAATACTGGTGTAGCCACAGACCCAGCTGAAACCTGCTGCAGGACCCTGGCAAAGGCCTAGTTCTCATGGACCAGAGATGGTTTTGTCCCTGTCTTCTTCATGAAGCAGCCACACTTATTCCATGCACAAGCCTGGCAACATCCTGATGGAAAAGGGTTTTTTTTGGTGACAGGATGACTTTAAGAGGAGGGATATGGGCTGAAAGAAAAGGGGAATACACATGTAATTAAGTTGCATCAATGAGCTGCAGCAATCAATTAAAAACAACCAACAGAAAACAATGTCAGTTTTGTTAGCCACATCTCCCAGCATGTGAAGTGTCAAGCAGAGAAAGCACTTGTCAGCCATCCACAGGGTTCTGTGGCTGGTACTTCCAAGTGCCATTGTAATTCTTTATTGTCTTGCCTAATCAGCTTGAGATTGTGGCATTTTTTTTGAGTATTGACTTTCAGAAGAGTCAAGCTAGAGTCATGACTAATCAAGCCATGCTAGGGAGGGGAAGTGTGAGGGAAGAATTGAAAGAAAGAAAACCATGAAGTGCTAAGTCAAAGACAGAATAATGCACCTTTTTGTCCCATTCCAGGAAGCAAAATCCTCTTCTATAAACCCCAAAGTATAAGCACTAAGAATATTTTTTTTGTTTGTTTCTGTGCAGCTTCTATTCCAGGTACCCACCACAACCAAACCTCCTGAATTTTTGAGGAGCAGCTGCAAGTAAAAATGTTTTAACACTATACCTCTCCAACTGACCAAGCCTTGATGCCACATTTACTAATAAAACTGATCAAAACCACTTGCCAAGGAGTCTGAAGAGACTAAGCATCCAACTGTGCACTTAATGGCATACCTCTTGACTTTAATACACACTGGTAAAGATCAATTAAACACAAGTGTGATGGCTAAGGAGCTTCATAACTACCACTCTATGTTATGATGAACACAGGTCATTAAGTAGCTTTTAATGGAAGTAAAATAGGTGTTCAGGTAAGCCTGTAACATTTTGTATCAATGACTGCCATAAATCAGACAAAAATCAGTCTGAGAAGACAGACAACCTACCAAGGATCATATTCCACACTTAATTACCTCCTTTAGTTTTCATTAGCAGAGCCATTCATCCTTCACACTCTGACAACCCTTCCTCCTGGTCTGCCTGTGCTAGACCTTCTCCAAGGTCATGCAATGACCCTGTTGTGTGAGGGTGGGGACTCCCAGGCATTTCCATCTCCAGAACGTTGTAAAAGTGAGGAGCAGCTGAAGGTTCTGCTCCAGTGGGTTCCCTTATCTCCAGGTCAGGAGTGCCCTCTATTGGGGAGCAGCACCACTTGAGATGCTGCTATTTCTGAAGGGACCTCTTCCAGTAGAAAAAAAACAGCTCCACCCTTCCATACCCAGGAAAGTCACAGTTTTCAAAGTGTTAAATAAGAGCAGCCCCAGAAATAGCTGAGATAGTTACAGCCCTGTGGGCCTGTTGATCCTCAGGCTAGGTTCCAGCCACCCTGAGCTGAAGTTTAGGAGGCAAGAACACTATTCCTACACTGGAAGGTTTTGTTTTCCCTTCTCACATTAGCACATCTAATTAAACTGTCAGCTTTTGCTGTTGTTTACAGAGGCATAAAGCCAATGGTAGCCTGTACCCAGACACAACACCTAATTTGTCATGTTCCTTACAAAACCTGCTGTCTGTCAGAACCTCACCAATTCCTCCAAGAGCTGCAGGGTTTGAACTGCTCAATTAGCAATTTCTCTCCTCTTTGTCAAGGGCTGGATCAACACTACCTTCTTCTGAAGGCAAGGATGAAAAGATCTGCCCTCCTATGTGACCCAGGGATAACTGACACCTTGAAGTTCCTCAGAGACAAGCCTATTACTCTGCTCAGGATCCAGTGCTGGAACCAAACAAGCAGCTCTAGGCACTGCTCTAGTCCCCACAGATGTGTTCAAGAGCCATGCACCCAAGCCCTGCATTCAGTTCAGATGCAGAATTATTCCCCACTTACACAGTTCAAGTATCAGGTCCTCATCTTCCTGCATCCTTACACCTCCTTTTGGAGACTAAAGAGCCTGGAGGACTCACATGGTGTCTTGGGAATTCCAAAGGAAGCTAGTGGATGGTAAGAACAGTGGTTTCTCTCACTCATGCTGTGTAGTACTGAAGGACAGAAGTTCAGGTGATGTACAATCTGATGCCACTCACATCTTAGGACACCACCACACTCCCTCCTCCAGAAGGGCATGATACTAGAATCAGATACTCATACCTCTAAGACAAAAGAAATTTTATTCAGTGAAAAAAAGGACAGTTATTTTTAAAAACATTTTTCCCTTGCAGTTTCACAAGGCACAGCATTGACAAAGATTTCTCTTTAGCCACATTACAGGATTTTCCATTTAAAATAAGAATCATATCAGTTTAGTCAAGCAGAAGTCCTAAAAAGGTTTCCATAGTTACCATCTAGTAGGACTGTACTCAACAGCCAGGGAAGAGGCTCTGTAAGAAGCTTCCATGAAACCACCTTGTAACCCTGACCAAAGAGCATTTCACCTTCTGTCTAGGGAGGTTTGCTGAGAGTAGGGAGGATGGAGAGTCTACAACAGGCCACACTTTTCACTTAATTATGTGGATTTGGGTCTTATTGAAGCATTCTGTCAAATGTTGACAATTCAACAAGGGGAAGGGGGAAAGATAGCAAAGAGCTTAGAAGAAAAGGCTGGATTCTTCTTCCCCCCAACACACTGATGCTGAGTATTCAACTCAGTAGCACGCATTTGGTATGAAAATACTCCCACTTTAAGTCATCAAACCTAGCAGAATAATCTCTAAACAACTGCTAAGTGAGAGAAAAAGAACCAGAGACAGTCTACTGAAATCAGCCCTTAACTTCCACATGGAGCAGGGATTCATTTGAGGATGCAAGAATTTGAAGAAGGAGAATCTGTCAACAAAATCCACTTTTTGGAGGGGGGGGGAAAAGAAGCTAGCAGAATTTTTCTGGAGCAGTCCTACAGCAAGATCAGCAAGAATACAGCAAACCATCAACTCTTACTAGAAACACTGTGCCTAGGAAGCACATTGGGTAAGTTTTTAGACTTGTGGCAGCTACCCTGCAAAGAAGACTGCTCCAGCATCATTCAGTGATTTGTTTTCTTCCTCCAACGTGTTATGAGTGAGCTGTACAGACTTATTTTTTCCTTCAGGCACATGATGGTTCAGGACATGAAAGTCCTCACACTTCCCCTGATGACAGCTCTGCAGATAGGACAGGACCTCAAATTGACAGCACAGTCCCCACAAGCTACCAGGTGGCCACAAGGAACAAACACAACAGACACATCTCTGTCCATGCACACTTTGCACCTCCTTTCCTCTTGCAGGCGGCGGAGTTGTTGTTCTGTGCTCATCCCAGGCTCCTCTTTACCAAAAAAAAGATGATAAAAGCCCAAACTTAGTATTATAACAGCAGCTCCAGAGTGCCAGTCCAGTCATCTTAAAAAGTCACACTGCAATTTGCTTATCACTTTGTTCAGCTACTGACTGACAACTAGAATACCTCTCAGGCAAATTTAATTTAAGCTGAGAACTAGAGCTATTAGAGACTCTGGCTTATCTACACAGGATTCAGCCTGACAGGGACAGAGACCAACATTTTTTCATCAGGATAATTTACATATTACAGTAAACAATCTTTTATAAGAGTCTGCTTCACAGTGGAATTCTAATTCCTGAGTAAGAGTCTCTATGTTTAGCTACCATTCAAGCACGTCCCCCTTCAGGATTAAGAAGTTAATGCAATGACCATTGATGTCATTACTACCAAAATGCTCCCAGTTATGCCTAGGCTTAGCTTCACCACAACTCCCAGCCCAGTGCACCTGATTCCTTCCGTTGCACAGGTTGCATTTCTTCTCCTGATCTTGGTGTTTCAGTCTCTCTCTGAACAGCATCTGCATAACCACAAAAGAAGATGGCATTAAAAGTTACCCCTTTCCTCCCTCTTCAGAGAAAATCTGGATTTCAGTAGCCTTGGGTTGAATAGCTCTTCACTCTGCTGTTAACCTCACACACTCAGCCTGGGGAAGCTGAGGTTCTCCATGGGGCTTTAGTCACTGTGTATGTTTACCTCCCAACCAAGGCATTCACATCACATTGTCCCATCTGCAAAGCTGGTTTACCTGTCAGACAGGAGCCATCCACTGCCCATTCCTGGTCCTGTGCTACTATTTAATCACACTTTTGGTTTTGTGGAAGTCTCTCTTTCTCCCCCTTAGCTATAGACATGGCAAACAGTGATACAGAGACAGGAGCTCTGGAAAGAAGGCTTGGTACCAGAAAGCCAGCATGGAACTGCATCTTCAAACAAACTTCACTTGGCAAACAGACTCCACAAAATAGGTAGCACAAGACAGAAATGGATAAGGAGAACATATTATCCAAACAAACAAGTACAGCTCTGATCAAACCACTGACTGAGTTTTAAATAGGCTTGAAGTACTCTTCCATCCTGGAAGCCCTGCTTCAAACAACTGCCCCTGCCTGCATCAGGTGTGAACGTGGGCACAAGCCCCCACATTGTGCAGCTGCCTGCCTAAAGGCAGCAGGAAATATTGAGGATGTGAATACCACAGCCTATTGGAGACAGATGAGCTACTGATAGCCCTGTAATCACAGCTCCCTCAGGTTTCTTTAAAGCAGAACCTCCCTCTTCAGCCTCTCAAAGAAAGGCAGCCTTGGGTACATTCCTACTCTTAATTCCAGTCGAGGAAGAGAATGCAGACCCACAAGACCCTCACAACAGTGCTCAGGGTGAAGTGAAGAAGAGGTTAGACAACCACCAAGACCATGGGTGTGTGAGTCAGGCATACCTCTGCTTCTCCCTGCACTGCTGCTCTCTGCCCACTCTGGCTGCAGCAGGTCAGAAATCAGCTCAGTCTCAGAGCAGTAGCAAGTCCCAGTCAGCATATATTTATTCTCTACCAGGCTAGCCACCCAGATGGGGTCAAAACCCATCTGCAGGACGTTCTGCACTATGGTCACCTGATCCAGGGAAGGAAGAGCCTGCAATTCCCAGTTCCTCAGAGGATCTGTGAAGCAGCCAAGCAGATACTTTACCAAAAAAAGCAGAACTTTGGGCCAGAAGTATGCCACCCCCTGAAGCTGTTATAGATAAAATGACTTTAATATATTCTAGAACATTCCTGTCTATATAGCTAGATTAGATAGACATATTTACAATTGTTTACTTCCAATCATAATTCACAAAAAAAAGTCAAAAGCAACTTCATAAAATCCAAGAGACTAATTTTGGGTGGCTTATTCTCTTGTAACAGTGAACCAAGCCTCCCACGTTTGGCCCCAGTCCAGAATCCTTATCTTTGTTTTCACATCCCACAACAGAAGTCTCAAAACTGCTTTCATGAAGATCAAGTGGAACATCCCAATTGAAGTCCCTCCTACCTCATAATCTAGCTCAGCCATGTACCAGTAAAGACAGAAGTGGGAAATTCAGCTGGCAGCCTACTCAAAGGCTTAAGTCTTTCTTAAGCTCATCTTAGATAGGCTCTTGAAGAGTGAGAGAAGCATTTTTCCCCACAGTTACGGGAGCCAAATTTCACCTATTTCCAGGAGCAATTGAGGAATGGGAACAGAGCCCCAGGATCAACCCTTTCATGAACAACTCTAAACCCTCCAGCCGTTCTCTGGTCTTCTATCAAGTGTTTAAAATGCTGTAGTGTGAAAGACTCTACAGACAACAACAGCAAGAGCATGGACAAGTCAAAGGAATATCAGGCAAGCACACAGCAGCCACAGGATTGTCCAGACTGGCTAAATGTCTCTGGTCCTAGACTAAGAGCTCTCACAAGAGCAAGCAATTTTGCTTGCTAGCAACTATTTTCTCAAATTGAAGTGAAACAGCTTCTAGAAGATCAAAATATCTCACAGAGACCATGTCTACAGTGCACAGCAGCTGGGGTGGGGCAGAGGCAGTCAACACCACATGATGACAGCACTGACCTTGGGAAGCAGGGGAATCTCCTTCAGTCTGATCCCAGGACTCCCTCTGAAAATGGCACAAGATAGTCACAAAAGAAGCACGTGTTCAAATCTGCCCCCTCCCCATCTACCAAACTATATACAGAATAGTCATGACTCACTGGAGAGAGCAGGGTGCTAGAAAAGGACTCCTGAACACTGCTAACAAACTCACTCCCCTTAGACCGCAATAAAAACTCACACCTGGAAGCAGAAAGAGTCAAAAATATTAGTACAGGATCTCTCAAGAGAGACCAGTGGTTTAAATTTTAGAAGCAAAGGGTGCTATTGGGTTATGAGCAAACTGCTACAGTCATTAAAGAGGAAGTATCATGGTCATCTTCATGTTTGGCCCAAGATGAGCTGGGTTGCAATATCCTTTGGAACAGGTCACAATATGATATAGAAATCATAATGATATATGAAATGATAGACCAGTCACAGAGAAACAAGGTTTACAACAGCTTTCTTCGTGTACCTCCGAGTAGAGGAAACCCAATCGATGTCAAAGAAAGTGATTTTAATTGAACTTTTAGATGGTGAGCTTCAGGCCAAGTTAAAACATCTCAGGTCTGAGCTGTGCCATTCTACCCGAGCTTGAACATTTGGTTCTGCTGTTAAAGAGGGAGAAAGGGGAGAGGAGAGGCAGTTGAAGAGATGATGATTAGGTTTCCAGGCACACCTTTGGTTTTCCCACACGAGGGGAGAGTGGGAGGAAGGCACTTTTGGAAGACAGTACAGGCTAAGTGGCAGGTCTACAAGCAAGTTTTCCACCTCAACTCACTCCTAGGATCTGAAGGTGTGCAACTTGGACCCTGAGGAGTCAGGGATTTTGGGGGTTTCCATAGGGTTACACACTATTACAACACCTTATGCAGTTAAATATGACTGAACATACCTGACTAGCTTTTAACCTGCTCTAGCTAGGTAAAAAAAAACTAGAACTAAGCTAATAACAGAGCCTGGAATTAGCACTTATTACCTGTACACTTGTGACTCATTTACCTCTCAGCTAGGGATACTTCTACCTTAGGCAAGAACAAATCAGTGTCAACGCACAGCACCTCTTTTGGTCTTGCTACAAGGGACATTTAACAAAGACTGACTTACTCTGGATACCATTTGGCATGTTCCCTCCAAGGATCATCTCCAAACGACCAGTTCCTCACACCCCCATCACAGTGGAAACACCTCACTACATCACCTTGTCCTGAAAAAA